AAAAAAAAATAATTGAAACAGTTGCACTGTGAACTAAAATTGTGTTAGCCAATTTGAAAATAAAAAACAAAAAACCTGATCTATTTCGACTGCAAATGGTTTTAAATAAAAAGTGTTGAATCTTTGAGATGAAGAATTATCATGATTATATGTGCTATTATTTGAACCAGCATGCTCATCTTAGTTGTTATACACAACATTTCAGCTGTTGTACCCTCTGGCCTTCTTCAGGAGCCTATCATCATATTTACTAATGTTATTCAGCCTATCAGAGTATATTGTTCTCATTTTGCTTTTCATGCCTGTGAAGGCAGTTGAAACATCAGCAAATTCCAGTTAAATATCTCTGAGAAAACTGCAGAATAAAGGTCTCATGTTTGCAAGCATTATTAGTGTGTATGTATATATCAGTCATGTTGTGTTGGAATCACATGCTTATCTCATTGCATCTGTGTGTGTATGTGTTTAATTCATGAAATGTTAGTGTAGTTTTAGTGGGTGTTAAAAATTTGGTATTTTTTTTTAATCAGTTCACTCCAAGCAAGGTGATAATTCCACAAAAACACAAGTGGCCACTGGAAGTGAAAGATAATGAGAAGACTTTATAAGTGGAAACCCAATCCTAAACAGCAAACAAGGAATAAACCTCTATTTCTGTTTAAAAGCCCAGGGAGAAGTGTGAACTGGATGATGAGCAAACATATCTACTCCTATTCATATTAATTTTAATTGTATGATAAAAATGATAAAATATATATTTAATCATATATACTTATATAGGGTGTAATGGATAAATTGTCATCTAAATTATGCAAAAGTGAAAATAACACCGACATCTAATTTTAACAGATATATTTACCAAAATTACACAAAAATATCTTGAAATACTGAAGAATAAATTTATCCAATAAAATCACCATTGGCTTCAAACATAGCCTCCAGATGACTTCAGAATCTCCTGCAACTTTTCTGGATGGTCTCCTTGTTTAAGTTGGTGAATGCTGCTATAATCCTTTCCTTCAGTTCATCTTTGGTGTTACAAGGAGTTTTGTTGGTTTCTCGATCAACTGCACCCCACGCATAATAATCAAGGGAATTACTGTCTGGGGAGTTAAGTGGCCAGATATAAGGAGTGATTTGGTCACAGAAATTGTCTGACAGCTATAACTGGTTTCTCCTGTTTGTGTGACATGGCTGTCAGATATAGGTTCTTCCAGCAGCCACTCTCTTGACCCAGGGCAGCACTACCTCCTCAAGGCATTTGATGTAAGTCTCCATGTTGAGTCTGAAGACCTGTGGGAAGATGAATGGAGGCATAATGTTGCCATCACTAGGGATCACTCCAAACACCATGATGTTGACTGGATATATCATCCAACTCTTTCTGAATCCCCTGAAATGTCCTCAGGTTGACACTCGTTTGAGTGTCAACCCGAGGACATTCCAGGGGATGTTTTTATTGGAGCTTCCAGCACAAATGCCAAGTAGTACAGCATGTCATTTCCAAATTTCTGGCAGAATGAATTGCATGATGGTGCCCTTTTTCTCACAGATGGTGCCCAACTGACCCTACTATACTGTGCAATCGACAAAATCAAAAACAAACAACATGTATATGCAAAATTAAAAATATAAAAAGGCAACAATTTACTCATCGTACCCTGTATAAGGAAACAACAGATATTTTATTTGATATTATTATCTGCTACTCTAAACATTTTTTGGATACCCATGTTTGAGTAGACGCCCTGAGTTTGTTTTGTTTTTTAACAGTGTAAATTACATCGAGTTGATTGCATATTTGAAAGATTTAATAAAAATCTGCAGTCCCTCTTTCAAATGTGTGGACCAGTTTATGTAATTCATGTATTGTTTAAAAAAAGAAAAAAGAAAAGAGGACACGGTATATATGCATACATGGATATCCATAAAATAATGTTTCAAGTAGCAGGAAGTAATGTTGGATAAAAATATCATTGATTCCTTAGAAATTACTTTGTTGCGACGATGGTAAAAATGAGCAGATATAAGTTTTTAAGATCAGAGAGAGAGAGAGAGAGAGAGAGAAAATGAGAATGAGAATGTGCATTCTTCAAAAAGGTAACTGAACATTGTTGGACTGTGATGTTCTCTGTGGTTGAGCAGTGTATGCCCGATCAGCTGGTGGTTTCTCTTACAAAGGAGGACATTTCTTTGAATCTTGTTAGAGAACATTTTTTCTTTATTGTATCATTCAGATCCACAGACAAAAAAAAAAAAAAAGAATCAAGGCATCTACTCAAACATGGGTAGCAGCAAAATAATGTTTCAAGTTGTAGGAAATATATATATATATATATATATATATATATATATATATATCTTCCATAAAGTGTAACTAAGGTTCACTCTGCATAGTTACTGTGTAAACCACAGCTGGGATCTGTGTGTGTTAAATAAGCATAAATGTACCTGAACAGGCGTCTGTAACAGATTGGTTAGCTGCTTTATCAGGATGGATATGCTTGGAAACAAGTAGTCAGCCATCATCATTAATATATATATATATAATAAGAAAGAACAGTAAGATTTATAATCCGGTGTTCTTAGCAATTATTTAAAAAAAAAAAATATACAGTGCTCGATGCAAACAGTAGAGCATAATATTATGATTATGTTCTTTTTTAAAAATATGATTCCATTGTAACACAGAAATTTCTATGTTTCAAAACTGAAACTAAAGTTGTAAATTTAATTATAAAAATTAAACATAAAATCCAGAGTTTCGTTCCATTGTCAAGCGAAGTCAGGAATAACTTGCTAAAAAATTTATTTAATTTATAAGCACAATCGTAATATTTGGGGTTATTAAGGTTAAGGAAGATTCAATCTATTTTGATTAGGGGTGATTGGGTTTTAATTTTCCTAGACAACTTATGTATCAAATATATGTTACTTACAGAGTCAGTTTCAGTTTAGATGGGGTGCTGTTGCTTTCACAAACATTCGTTATTCAGCATGTTGTCTGGGTTTTCAATGACAAAAAAATTTGGGCATTTTTATTTAACTACTTAATTCATATTTTTATACACAAAGATTTTCTAAAAGGGTTATTTAAATATGTGTAAGTCATATTTTTAATATTTAAATTTTATTCCTACAGTTTTAAAGTACCATTCCTCCTTCTAATAACTAATAGATTATATGGTATTTTTACAAATTTAATTAATTAATGATCAAGTATAAAATATGTATGTTTCAGCTCTCTTCTTTTTTATTTTTTTTCCCAAATTAATTATTACTTAAGGAAAATATTTGACAGTGCCTACAAAAAATAGCTATTTCATTTCTTTGATTTAGTAAATTTTTATTTTTCAGAAACTTAATAATTTATAATTTTTCATGTATGCACAAAGAACATGGGTCATTTAATGACATACAAGGTCTAGCCTTTCTTATTAATTTCCATTTTACTGTTGATGTTTTATTGGTTTCAGAAATATGTTGATTCCACCTTTTGAATTCATTCCTTGTTCATCCAATGAATCAACAGATGAGATATTGTACTGATAAATTACTGATACAATATGGCATTTATTGTTAAGAGGACAGTTTTGAGGATTTCTACAGTTACATTATTTTTCTTTATCTTCATTTCTTTTTATTTTAAGATCTATATTTTTTTGATTTTGGTATAAGTGTTTATTCAAGATATTAGCATTATGTTTCTTAATAATTATTTCTAAGTTTTCAGTACAACTGTAACTTAATTTTAGGGTATTTTTATTACAAATTGTACTGAGCTTACTGTCTCTAGGAAAATGTTTATCAATTGGTGCAAGGAATTTTTGTCCTAACTTATTTCTTACCATTTGGTTATATGGAGGTGTATACCAAATGATTTTTCTATTATTTATTATATTGATTATTGGAATGGTTGGCAAAACATCGACTAGTTGCCAAGTGAATCAAAGTTTATAAAATGGTAAATAAAAAGGATTTACTTATACAGGGTGCCCCCACAAAAATCCAGGAAATTTGATTCAGTTTATTTAATTGTTGGAATTTTTGTTACAGTTCTTTGAAACAAAAGCAAAGGCTAGAAATTTAGTAGCTTAAAACAGAACAAAAACATAAATGTTAGATGTGGTGTTCAAACTAAAGAACTCTGGCAAAGTTTCTCGATATATTTTCAATCTCCAGGTTGGATGTTCTTTCTTAAAGAGAACAATTACCTTTTGTGGAAAATTTGATAACTGTGGCATCCTGGAAATGGTTAAATAATTTATGATAGGAATTTTTTTAATTCATTCATATAATAAAATATTTAGTTAATTTTTTATATGTTAGTTAATTTTTTTTAATCATATAGTAAATTTAAAATTTCCTGTTTTTTTTAGTGGGGAGTAGCTGATAGTTGGTTCACATATTTTAATGATTTAAATTTTTATAAATTTATGATTAAAAAAATCGTTTTTATATTTGTTTCTTTATAAATTGGTAAAAGATCAATATTGCATTGTATTAGTTTTTAGAATGTTATAAATATAAAATTATTCTTGTAAATAAACAATCAAAGTAAAGAGTGTTTAATATTTTTGTAGTAAATTCTTAAGAACAAAAAATGGTATAAATTCACTTCCATTATATGTTTAGGTTTTATTACAATTCTAATCATCAGTTTTTAAAACAATAAATATTGACAAAGTTTAAAGATAGTTAAAATAAAAGTGGTATCATGGGAAAAAACATTCTTTTGATACTCTTATTGCAAGTATGAAAGCCCATGTTTGCCACATTATGTATGTATGTCTATATATACATGTACACACACATTTGCCTATAATGCTTTTATGCTGATACATGTTTTTAATATATAGTTTTTTTTTTAGAAGTGAACTTAATAAAGACTGCTTTCAAATTGTGTCTCTCTTCACATATTTTTATATATTTATATGCATACAAATACACAGAGAAGTTTGTATGCATGTTTTTTAACATTTGATTTCCTATTTTTGCAGGAGAATCAGCACTGTAAGTCAGTATTTGTCTTCCCAAGGGTACGATGTGGACAAACTGTGGCAAGACATTGACGATGTCATCATCAAGACTATCATCTCTGCTCACACTGTACTTCGACACAATTATCGCACATGTTTCCCAAACCACACAAAAACAAGTGCATGTTTTGAAATCCTTGGAATTGACATAATGATAGACAAGAAGCTCAAGCCTTTAATCCTTGAGGTGAGAAGAAAAAGCTTGAATGATTTGGTTGATATTTCAATGTTTATTACTATTATTTTTAGAACATTATTAAGAGAAGTATCCCCTCCTTGCTTGTTTATAATCCATTTGGGAATACCAGGTGCTGTGAGCTTGAATGTGTGGGTGGTGTAATGGCTTGGAATTGTTAATCTGAGAGCAGAGTTTCATTTCCACTTGTGTTCGTTATATTCACTTATGTGCAAATACCCTTGGAGAAATTAAGAATCTACCTTTTCTCCCCACCCAACTATGGGTTAATTCATAGAACTTTTGTATTGCTAAAACATTATTTTTTTTTTTAATCATTTCACCTCAAGTATAGCAATAAAGCCACTAAATGCAAAACTTTATTAAGTTCACTGAGTGTTAGAGAATATGTGAAAAATATCCTCTTAAGGAGAAGGGACAATAAAAGAACAAGAGTTAAGAAGACAGAAGATAACTATTGACATTGCATTTAAATTTTTGAAGATCAAAGTTGATTGGGAAGCAAGAAGCTGGAGTTCCACAAACAAGAGGTTCGATAGAAGAAATTGTTAACATAGAATATGACACCCAATTGGGAATAATTGAAACAATAGTTTATCCTGCAAATATTGTATCTGTAGCATTTAACACTAACAATGATGAGAACAAGCATTGAAATATTAACAAAATTCCTCATAATTTTTTAAAATTGAATATTGATTTTCTATCAAGAAATCCAATAAATAATATTCAAATTTAGGATCAGTAAAAAACAATGTGTAAAATGTAAATTTCAGAATATGTGGTACTTAAATGGACCCAGATATGGAGAATAGGGAGGGTTGCCAAGATCTTCACTCTATTCAGACATGATCTTGGTTGTATGGAGTCATGTGGACTAACATAAAAGTATACTATGAACTTGTAACTGATCAAACTGGAACACTTTACGTTCAAAGCAGTATGTAAATACTCCAACTGCTAAAAATAATATGTACTGTAATCATAACACTGATTGGTAGCAATTCAAAGACCATCAAATCCCACCAAAATTTACCTTTGATGAAAGTCTATTTTAAGTTGTGCTTTAGTCTGCCTGCACTAAACTATTGTCTGTATTGCATTATATTTATGTAAAATGTTCACTTTTTATCAGCCATAAATCTGGCTGAAAATGCTAAAATTAAAAGAAGCAGTACAAATAAGATTAGAAATTGTTTTCATGAATAAAAATTATTTCTCTTTGAACTTCAAAAGATGCCATCTTAATTACTTTGAATAAATATATATGTGAAAGAATAATTAACTCAATAATCACATTTATTAGCTTAATTTATGTAATATTTTCTAATCCAGGTTCATAAACAAGAATATTGCATAAGAATGTAAAAAATGCTAATCAAGCATTTAGCAACATTCTCTTTGGTAGTAACACAAAGATTATGGAAAATACAGATTTTTTAACACATTCTAATAAATTAGAATACAAAGGATTTCCCATTGTTCAAAGTATAATTGCATACCTCCACAGCTTTTCAGTTATCAGTTAACTGCATGAATCAGAGAAATAATCGAGAATCAAGAATAATGTGCATTTTCTTTGACTGCTACATTATCAAAAAGCCTTAAGCAAAATAGAAAAGGAGTTGTCCTAATCATTAGATAATATAACCCAAATTTGAGATAGAGCATTTATATATATATATATATATATATATATATATAGTTGAATGCATAACAAAATGGAAAACAGTTTTCTGTCATCATTCATTTACCTACTTAGCTTCTGATTTATTTATTTTATAATATATCTTTCATATTTTCATATATATATATATATATATATATATATATATATATATATATATATAATTAAATAATTTAGACAACTTTGTCTACTTATTTTTAGTAGGATCCTCTTGTAATTACAGACAAGTTTTTTTAGTACCCTTTATTAAAGTAAAAAAGGAAATTACCATGTTGGTGCATATTCATTTTATTCCAAGTACTTTCGACATTAGCACAATGTCATCAGGGTCTTGCTTTTTCTAAGACAAAAATTGTTGTGTTCCTTTCTTTCTTCCTAAAATAAGATTACTAAAAAATTTGTCCGTAATTACAAGTGGATCTTATTGAAAATAAGTAGACAAAATTTGTCTAAATTATCTAATGACATGTCATAATGAAAACATGCTGTCAAAATATACTCAGTGTGTATATATATATATATATATATATATATATATATATATATATATATATATATATATATATATATATATATATATGTGTGTGCATGTGTATTTCTAATGAATTAATGATTTTATTTTAAACTGATATATTTATTGCTTCATACGTTGTTGTAGTGAATACTTTATAATTGAAATAGATCCCTCATTTTTATATATTCATATATTTTTTAATTAATTCACCCCAAGCAAGATGATAATGATTCAAGGGGCTACTGGGAGTGGAAGGGAATGAGATTTTAGAAGAAAGTGGAAACCTTATATATATATATATATATATATATATATATATATATATATATATATACATAAAGAAATATAGTCTTAAGGAGTGCTATATTTATGGGATAAATTGCTCAATATCAGAGATAGAGCGTGTGAATATAAAAGTGAACATAGAAGTCAGCATGCCCAAGGCGACAGTCTGTTTCATGCATGAAACAGACTGTCGCCTCTATGTTGACTTCACTATATATATATATATATATATATATATATATATATATACACACATTCAAAGTGTTGGTACAATCAACAGACAGCCTTTTGAGATGACCAAAAGAAAACTTCATAAAAAGAAAAAAAGAAAATACTAATAACAAAAATCCCAAATCCCAAGAAAAAAAAACCTATACAAGAAAATGGGGGAGGGGGAAACTAAATAAGTTAAGGAAAAAAAAAACAAAAGGTAGGAACCTACCTAAACAGTAACCAACTGTGATTTATACCAAGAGCAAAAACACTTCTCAGCATCACACCTCAAAATAGACAAAGTTTGGATGCTCCCACAATCATCAGGTGACCAGATGATTATAGAAGCATGAAACTTTTTGTCTCTTTTGATATGTGATTGTGTATGTATGTTTATGTATACATATATATATATATAGAAAAATTTAGCCAACATGTTTTATCCTCTGATGAACTTTATCAAGGCAAATTGATAAAGTCCATCCATGAGAGGATGAAATGCATTGTTTTCTTTTTGTCTTCTTCGATTACCATTCCCTGACAATAATCACAGCCTCTTCATTTTTCTCCTTTGATTTGCAAAGTGACAAGACATGTTTTTTCTTGCTATAAAAGATACTGGACCATGTAAAAACTTCAGAGACATGAAGTTTTCTCTGAACATTTCATTATTTCAATTTCTTTCTTTTTATATTACCCTTCTATTACATGCCTGTTTAATATATTTATTAATTGTTGCTTGTATGAATTCGATATGTGATACTTATTTTTTCCTAGATTCTCATGAGTCCAACAAATATTTATTTATTTTCTTCAATAAGATTTCTCAAATATTCAGGCTGGTAGATGAAAATAAGAATAAATAAATAAATATATATACTGTTTGATAAATAAATTGAGCATCTACTCAGCTATGAGTATCCAGTAAAAATAATATTTATGGTGATACAAATCTGTTGGATTAATACATAGAAATCCATTACTTATATATATTAGCCCTGTTGGTGGGGCTTCAGAATACATTGACTACATCTCTGCAGAGGGTAAAAGTCCCTCAATGGGGCCACCTGTTGGCCGTGGGTGGCGACCCATGTTGTCTGGGGACAGGAACCTGGTGATTGAGCAGGCCATGACCCGGGTGCAAAGAGGTCATGGTCATGCAACACATCACTTTGGCCCTTACCTGGGTTAGACGGGCAGTCAGAGAGGCCTGATCCGATCAATCGGCTAGTCACATCAAGCACTAATACTTACTCACATAAAAACCCATCTATCTAAAACCCATAAGATGTTACACAAAACCTGTCCAACTCTTTACTACAAACCAGAGATAGATCATAAATGAGTATTAGAAGGCGGTGGCAAGGGTCAATCTACTAGTAAGGAAAAGCCGTTACAGATAAGGATTTTAACTGACTTTTTCGTCAAAAAAACAAATCAAGAAAACAAAGTGAAACCTGAAATGCTAACAGCCACTTACTAGTGCGAGTATACCTTCCTTGTATCCCTGGGATAGTAGGGCGAATAGGTTTCCCCCCAACATCTCCCACTGATGGGCTCTGAGGAGGGTGGGGAGCAAGGAAGGTGAATTTTTAAAAAAAAATAAAACTCATGGCAACAAATAAAAACAAAAGACCCCATATTGAAGACAGTTTGGAGAGCCGATACTCTGAAACCAAGTCAGACAATGAACTTGATCAAAAGCTGTTCCCTAGATTTATTGTCTTAGAGTCAATAGAGAATACCCCAATCTTTAAGTTGTCTCCATTCATTGTGAAAAAACAATGAAATCTTTAATAAAAACCTTATCAATAAAAAACTAAGGAACATCACCATTTTAGTAGAAGTTCCAAATAAAACTTCAATAAATATGTTACTGAAGCAAAACTTTTTTTCTAAGCTTAAGATAAAAGCCTACTCCCACACTTCCTTGAAGACCTCAAAGGGTGTGGTAAGGAGCCCAGTTCTCTCACTCTGCACACTGGATGAGATAAAAAACAGCCTAAGGCAACAAAGCATCACAGATGCTCAAAGAATATTGATAAAAAAAAACAACCAAACGACTCCAACAAACACTTATATTCTAAATTTCAACACTCCAAAACCTCCTACAGAAATAAAAATCATATGATAGAAAAAGTGGAAGTATACATACCAAATCCTCTGAGATGCCACAACTGCCAAAAGTTCGGGCACCATAGGGAAAGATGTACCAGATCACCAACATGTAAAGATTGTGGAGAAATTGGGGATCACATTGACTGCAAACTCCCATTAAAATGTGCAAACTGC